TATACTTAAACCGGTAACTATTTCTTCGTTTGATTTTATAATTTATGTAAAGTTCCCGCGAAAGCGAGGAATTGTACAAATTCTGATTCATTATTGATACGTCTTATTGCTGATTTGTTGCGTTCGTTAAGCGAGTTTCGATATTACTTGTTCGGTTATATTTGGCTGCTTATTGAGTGTAAAGAAGTCACAAGTGACAGGTTAGTCAATTGTTCTTATATTTGTTGTAATAAAGTGTTATATAATATTTTAAGTGTTGAGGCAAAAGTGTGAAACTGAATCTAGTGGAAGGTTAGAAAGAAAAAACTTTTTAAGTTAGTATTTGTTAATTCAAGGTAAATTTATTATTTTGTTTCTCAACATTAGCTGTAAAAAAAACAGTTGACTGAAGGTCATCAATTTTATCCATTATCGTCATTAAGTTGAAAATAAAGTTATTGTCAAACTCTCATTATAGTCAGCAATTCCCTCCTCACCGGTCAACTTTATATTTTCCCCATCTTTCAATTCATGCCCAGTTGACAGCTTCGAGTCTACTTTACTGATCTTAAAATTTTTATTATCTATGGTTTGTATTACCATTTTCTTATTGATTCTAGTACTGGGTGTAAACCGGCGCTCGAAAGATTTGTTGATTATAGAATTAGAAAGTGAAGTAAAAATAAGGAAGTTATAGTGTAAGTAGAGGCTCCATCATCACAAACAGTTATTACCTGAAAAATATTTGAGTGATCAAGGTAGAGGAGATCAAAATTATGAAGGTCGAAGGTCTTAAAGTAAAAGAAACAACAGCTTATCGGTTGATGCTGTGATACGTGAGGGTTAATTACGGTTAAATTTAAAGTATTGTAACATGGAAAGAGCTCATGTAGATAGAGTGCGAGAAATTAAGCAGCAGTGATTCTTCAATTTAGCATAGTGTAGCCACAGCATGTCACGAGCACCTTCTGCAGCCTCAAGACTGTAATGAGAACGAAGGAGACAGAGATGCTAAAAATGTTCATTTTTCTAAGCTAAACACCCAATTTTAGTAACCCGAAACTATCATAGATTAACTCAGCAAGAAAAAAAAAAGTAAAGAGCTCGTGACAAAAAATAAAATCTGGTAGAGCGATCGAGAAAACAATACTGAAATTTGAAACACAACAAGGACCTAGCTGCCAACCTAATATTGAACCTATTTTTAAGAAAGTCCTGGTTTGGCTGTTAGACTGAGTAAGAACTGAGGAGATATCACTAAGTTACTGGAAATAATGATGACTTAATTTGTCTACTGAAACTGAGCAGAGTTTGAAATTGAAGTAATTATTTTATCCGCTGGTCAAATTAAAATAAAGCTTCCACAAAACTTTACTCATATAATTAGTAGTTGTTAGGAATTTAACACATATATTACAAATAAAAAAAATTAGAAAGAAAAAGTGGAGAACAGCAACATACTTAGTAATCAAATGGCATATACAGAAAAGAGATTCAAAAAAAAGCAGTTCTAAGTTTACACCTATTATCACAATAAACAATAATGTAACAGATTTGAAGACTAAAGTTTAAGTGAAAACAAAGATTGTAGAAGTGAATGAATAAATTAATTTAGAAGTGAAATTTCGCTTGATCAGGTGTTGGATGCAATGAGAAAAACACATTAAAAAGACAAGAAATTTACATAGTTCAAAAAAATAAAAAAAAAACAAATCTATAATATATTTATAGAATTCTGGCAACGTCAACATTTTAACATCTAACAACTATATAGAGCAAAAGACAAAGAACAATATATAATAAGTCAAAGCAAGACGAACACTGATAATAACAAACAAAGAAAAAAATCCAGAAAGAAATAAAAATCTCAAAAAAAAAGTAGAATCATTGTGGGAATTCACAGAGAACATTAAGGAATTGGCAAACTGGGTCATCCCGGATGCTCCACCAAACAACAGATATATC